CCGGGCTCCGTCAGCCTCCGGGACAAAAGGCAGAGAGCCGCAGATCCGGCCCGGGCTCCGGGCAGAGCAGCCGGGGAGCTGGGCGCGCACGGGGCAGCGGTGGCCTGGGCCCGCGGTGGAAGCGGCAGGGCGGGCCAAGGCCGGGGGCGTGGGCTGGCATGGCTCTGCTGGCCGGGCGACGGACCGGCCAGGCCAGCTTTCCTACACGCTGGGCTCTTTAGGGAGCCCTGGGCCGGCCCTGGACGGTCTCTGGGGCCTCAGGGGCTGCGCCGGGCTGGCTGACCACCGGGCTCCCCGTGCCTGGACTCCCTTCCTGGCTGGGCTCCCTCGGGGAGAGGACAAAGCCCCAGGACTGGGGACAGAGAGGAGGCAGGCCCCTTGCCGACACCCCTCCCCGCCCGCCGCATGGCTGCTGGGCTTTTATCTGGCAGAGTGGGGCTTATCAGAGCCACCAGCTGAACAAACACTGAAATCCACGGGTAGTGAGAAAACACTCCGGCTGCACGCTTTATCTGCCGCTCGCAGGCCGCGCTGCCCACTGCCAACAGTGCAGGAGGGGACCTGCCCACCGCCGCGGGGGCTCCCCCGGCCTGGTCTCTGCGCCCCATCTCCCGGTCGCCCGCCCCCCCTTCTTCGCCCAGGAGCCCAGGGCAGCTCACCCTGGCGGTGCCTGCCGGGCGGCGTGCATGAGTGAGCCCCTGCCTCCGCGGGAGCCCCCTCCAGTGTCTGCTTCTCGCTGAGGACAATGGGCCAGCTGGTGGCCTGTGGGCCGGGGCAGGGCAGGGCCAGTGTGGGCTGGCACGGCGGGCAGGTGCCGGGATCTTTTATCCGCTCCCGCCCAGCCCACGCCCCCGAGGCTGTATCTCTGATTCCCGAGGCTTCTGGGGCCGTGTTCCCTTGGCAGCTTTTCGGGCCTCAGCCTTCTCTCCAGCCTGCCAGGGCAGCGGGGGTCCTAACTGTGCCCACTCCGGTTCAGGGAAAGAAACCCTGCCACGCTCCACGCCCATGTCTTCAAAGACCACGGCTCTGGCTATGTCTTGCAGAGACCGAGGTGGCACCGCGCCTCCCCGCCGCCCCAAGACATGTCTGTCTCTCCTGTCTGCCCCCCGCTGCCACCCACGTAGCCCATCGAATGCAGCTGCCCCAAACTGGGCCTAGCCGCGGTGCCCGATGGATGCCCTGGGCAGGTGGGCAGCGGGCTCCCTGCCCCGCGGGGCCCCCGCTCATTCCCACCGCTCCAGCCGCCCAGCGTGCAGCTCTGCTGCCTGTCCTCCTGGGCCTGGGCTGCTCCAGTGACCCACGCCTCCGGGGGGCCTCCCCAGCTGGCTGTTCTGGCCACGCTGTGGCTTCCACAAGGGAGGGCTGGGGAAAGGCGGGTGGCGAGTCCGCACTCTGGCTTGTAGTGGGCCCGAGCGGGCTCTGCAGAGCGAGCCTCTGCCATGGGGCCTGGCTCCGGGCTCTGGGGCCACTCCTCATCCACAGCCTGTGGGCTGGAGGCCACGGGCAGTGCCCAGGCGTGGCCATCGGTGGCCAGTGCAGGCCCCTCTCTCCCTCGGGCTCCTCTGCACCCCCCAGAGCAGCCGCAGAGCCCCCAGCGGCTCCACCAACCCCATGCCCCAGTCTTTCGGAGCGTCACCTTTCCCTCGCACCCCCTTCCTGGCCTCGCTGTGCTGTGCCTCGACCCCCCGTGTCCCTCCTGCTCCTCCACTCCACTCCTGGGGCCCCTCTGTGCTGCGGTCTGTCTGTCTGCACACGTTCCCAGAGGACTCTGCCCCTGGCGGAGCAGGGGGCTGCGGGGAGGATGGCAGCAGTGCACAGCCACTCCGACTGACAGTGTTTCTGTCCCCGCCAGACTAGACGGATCTGGGGCTCCCCCTGCACACAGGGTCCCCTCTGCACAAGGGGCTGCGTGTAACTTGCTGCTGCCCCGACTTAGTCCGGTGAATTCCTGGGGGGGTAAGAGAGATCCACAGAGCTGGCCGGGGTCGAATCCACACATCCCACCCAGCACCAGCTGGGCACACTGGCCACGCTCGGACTCCTGCACACGCACGCACACACGTGGGAGGTGCCGCCAGTCACGTCTCACTGTCAAGAAAGGGCAGGGTCCCCAGAGAGCCCCCTTCAACTCCACGGGCACTGCTGGCCTTTGGGGGTGCAGGCCCCGGGCCCTGCAGAAACAGGGAGGGGAAAGCTCTGTGCTGGGGGTGCCTCGGGGCAGCTGATGCGGTTCCGGAGCATTCCCTGCGCTGTGCCCCACCTCTCCCCCTTCGCCCGTGATTCCGTGATTCCGGAGCGGCCCAGGCATGGAAACCCAATCTCGAGGGGAGCCAGAGGCCCGGCCTGGGCAATCAGAGCTGGAGAATGTCACCATTGTGCCTCCTGAAACCCAAGTCCCAGAATCTGAGCCACCCTGAGCAGGGGACCGCGGACAGATGGGGGGGCGGGTCACAGAGGGGTCCTCCCGGTCTCAGGAGACTCAGGGGATCAGGAAGCCCAGAACGGGGGCAGCCAGAGGGCAGATGGGGGTGGGGCTTCTGCTTTCCCGCCCTGCCCCCACACTCCGGCCAGCCCAGTGTGGAGCCCGGGGCTCCCACATGTTGGAGGCACAGCCCCGAAGCTGTGGCATCCCCTGCCCTCCCTTCCCCTCGCCCTGCCCTGCTCTGTTCATGCAGCCTGAGAGGCAGGAGCCTTTGACCTGAGGGGGGGGGAGGATGTGGCACGGGGCTGAGTGACAGCGAGGGAGGAAACGACAGGGTGGCACCCACGGCACATGTGTCATCTAGGTCCCGTCTAACTGCCCCTGGGGCCCAGGCTCAAGGGCACCCACCAGGGGTTGGGGACAGTGGGGGCCGCCATCTGCCCAGGATGCTGTTCCACGCCATCCCTGACCAGGAAGAGCTACCTTCTCCACCTGCCCTCCCCCCCTCCACAGTGCTGTCTGGGGGACCCCTGAGCAAGGGAGGGGCTGCGGGACAGGTGGGAAGGCTCCGCGGTGCCCAAGAGGAGGCGCAGCAGAGCGGCCTGGCTCCGTCTGAAAGCTTCCAGGGGAAGACCCATCTCCTGCTGTCCTTGTCACCCTGTCGCCTCCCCACGGAGGTGGAGCCGCAGCGGTCCTCCTCGAGGGGCCAGGAGTGAGGGCTCCTACCTGCCCAGTCC